TTACTCCTTTACACTTCCCCTGGGTGGTAGAGGGGGCGAAAGAAATACAACACCTACAATCATTTATCAGCAAAATGAGGGGGGTTGGTTTTCCCTGTCTGCCTGCTCACAGTAAGAGAGCCTAATCCAGACGTGTTGTGGAGATCGGCAGGGAAAGGGGTCTCTGTATTGTACGGAGGGGAAAGGGGTCTCTGTATTGTACGGCGGGGAAAGGGGTCTCTGTATTGTACGGCGGGGAAAGGGGTCTCTGTATTGTATGGCGGGGAAAGGGGTCTCTGTATTGTACGGCGGGGAAAGGGGTCTCTGTATTGTACGGCGGGGAAAGGGGTCTCTGTATTGTACGGCGGGGAAAGGGGTCTCTGTATTGTACGGCAAGGAAAGGGGTCTCTTTATTGTACGGCGGGAAAGGGGTCTCTGTATTGTACGGTGGGGAAAGGAATCTCTTTATTGTACGGCGGGGAAAGGGGTCTCTGTATTGTACGGCGGGGATAGGGGTCTCTGTATTGTACGGCGGGGAAAGGGGTCTCTGTATTGTACGGCGGGGATAGGGGTCTCTGTATTGTACGGCGGGGAAAGGGGTCTCTGTATTGTACGGCGGGGGAAAGGGGTCTCTGTATTGTACGGCGGGGAAAGGGGTCTCTGTATTGTACGGCGGGGAAAGGGGTCTCTGTATTGTACGGCGGGGAAAGGGGTCTCTGTATTGTACGGCGGGGAAAGGGGTCTCTGTATTGTACGGCAAGGAAAGGGGTCTCTTTATTGTACGGCGGGGAAAGGGGTCTCTGTATTGTACGGTGGGGAAAGGAATCTCTTTATTGTACGGCGGGGAAAGGGGTCTCTGTATTGTACGGCGGGGATAGGGGTCTCTGTATTGTACGGCGGGGAAAGGGGTCTCTGTATTGTACGGCGGGGATAGGGGTCTCTGTATTGTACGGCGGGGAAAGGGGTCTCTGTATTGTACGGCGGGGAAAGGGGGTCTCTGTATTGTACGGCGGGGAAAGGGGTCTCTGTATTGTACGGCGGGGAAAGGGGTCTCTGTATTGTACGGCGGGGAAAGGGGGTCTATGTATTGTACGGCGGGGAAAGGGGTCTCTGTATTGTACGGCGGGGAAAGGGGTCTCTGTATTGTACGGCGGGGGGAAAGGGGTCTCTGTATTGTACGGCGGGGAAAGGGGTCTATGTATTGTACGGCGGGGAAAGGGGTCTCTGTATTGTACGGCGGGGAAAGGGGTCTCTGTATTGTACGGCGGGGAAAGGGGTCTCTGTATTGTACGGCGGGGAAAGGGGTCTATGTATTGTACATGGTCCTCTTCTACAGATCACTCTCTGTTTATGGCAGATGCTGTGATTACACGCACACTTTTATATGTTCTTTAGTTGGGTGAACAATCCCAGGTGTCCCCTGAATCATAATTCAACAGCAATAAATATGTCCTAATATATGAAATACAGACTGTTATCATTATTATTATACAGTATTTATATAGCGCCGACAGTTCGCTCAGCGCTGTACATTATAGTGGGAGACAGTACACGAGACAGTACAGTAACAATACAATACACGAGGGGTTCGAGGGCCCTGCTCCTTGGAGCTTACAATCTAGGAGGGAGGGGATGGTGGTACAGGAGGAGGTGGCTGTGGGGGATGGAGTGGTAGGGAGAGTGGAGGAGTTCAGTATTAGCTGAGGGCGGGGTAGGCTTCCCTGAAGAGATGGGTTTTCAGGGAGCGCCTAAAGGTGAGGAGAGTACGTTGTAGTCTGATGGATTGGGGTAGGGAGTTCCAGAGGATTGGGTAAGCCCTGTCGAAGTCCTGGAGACGAGCATGGGAGGAGGAGACCAGGGAGCTAGAGAGAAGGAGGTCTTGTGAGGTGCGGAGAGTACGTTTTGGGTGGTAGATGGAGACAAGATTGGTGATGTAGTTTGGGGCAGTATTATGAACAGCTTTATATGTCAGTGTCAGTGTTAGTGTTTTGAGTTTTATCCGTTGGGCAATGGGAAGCCAGTGGAGGGATTGGCAGAGAGGGGTGGCGGGTACAGAATGGTTAGTAAGGTGGATGAGTCAGACCGCAGCATTCAGTACCAATAGGTATTGTAAGACCTTGGCCTGCTGATCTCCCCAAATACCCTCCGTACACAGGAATCTGCCAAGAGGGGGATGTGCAGACACTTTGGTCCTGGCAATGCGTTAACACAGGACTGTGTTAAAGTGTAATTCCAGCTCATACCTTTTTTATTTTTTTCAATTTTTTTATCTGACCTCCAGTCTTTTATTATTACTATTATACAGGATTTATTATTATTATTATTATTATTATTATTATTACAGTCAGGTCCATAAGTATTGGGACATCGACACAATTCTAACATTTTTGGCTCTATACACCACCACAATGGATTTGAAATGAAACAAACAAGATGTGCTTTAACTGCAGACGGCCAGCTTTAATTTGAGGGTATTTACATCTAAATCAGGTGAACGGTGTAGGAATTACAACAGTTTGCATATGTGCCTCCCACTTGTTAAGGGACCAAAAGTAATGGGACAGAACAATAATCATAAATCAAACTTTCACTTTTTAATACTTGGTTGCAAATCCTTTGCAGTCAATTACAGCCTGAAGTCTGGAACGCATAGACATCACCAGACGCTGGGTTTCATCCCTGGTGATGCTCTGCCAGGCCTCTACTGCAACTGTCTTCAGTTCCTGCTTGTTCTTGCGGCATTTTCCCTTCAGTTTTGTCTTCAGCAAGTGAAATGCATGCTCAATCGGATTCAGGTCAGGTGATTGACTTGGCCATTGCATAACATTCCACTTCTTTCCCTTAAAAAAACTCTTTGGTTGTTTTTGCGGTCTGCTTTGGGTCATTGTCCATCTGTACTGTGAAGCGTCCAATGAGTTGTGAAGCATTTGGCTGAATATGAGCAGATAATATCCCCGAAACACTTCAGAATTCATCCTGCTGCTTTTGTCAGCAGTCACATCATCAATAAATACAAGAGAAGCAGTTCCATTGGCAGCCATACATGCCCACGCCATGACACTACCACCACCATGATCACTGATGAGGTGGTATGCTTAGGATCATGAGCAGTTCCTTTCCTTCTCCATACTCTTCTCTTCCCATCACTCTGGTACAAGTTGATCTTGGTCTCATCTGTCCATAGGATGTTGTTCCAGAACTGTGAAGGCTTTTTTAGATGTCGTTTGGCAAACTCTAATCTGGCCTTCCTGTTTTTGAGGCTCACCAATGGTTTCCATCTTGTGGTGAACCCTCTGTATTCACTCTGGTGAAGTCTTCTCTTGATTGTTGACTTTGACACACATAACACCTACCTCCTGGAGAGTGTTCTTGATCTGGCCAACTGTTGTGAAGGGTGTTTTCTTCACCAGGGAAAGAATTCTATTCGCTCATCCACCACAGTTGTTTTCCGTGGTCTTCCAGGTCTTTTAGTGTTGCTGAGCTCACCGGTGCGTTCCTACTTTTTAAGAATGTTCCAAACAGTTGTTTTGGCCACCCCTAATGTTTTTGCTATCTCTCTGATGGGTCTGATGGATAGTGACAGCTCTTTGGATCTCATCTTGAGAGTTGACAGCAACAGATTCCAAATGCACATAGCACACTTGAAATGAACTCTGGATCTTTTATCTGCTCATTGTAATTGGGATAATGAGGGAATAACACACACCTGGCCATGGAACAGCTGAGAAGCCAATTGTCCCATTACTTTTGGTCCCTTAACAAGTGGGAGGCACATATGCAAACTGTTGTAAATTCCTACACCGTTCACCTGATTTGGATGTAAATACCCTCAAATTAAAGCTGACAGTCTGCAGTTAAAGCACATCTTGTTCATTTCATTTCAAATCCATTGTGGTGGTGTATAGAGCCAAACATTTTAAAATTGTGTCGATGTCCCAATATTTATGGACCTGACTGTATTATTATACAGGATTTATTATTATTATATTATTATTATTATTATTATTACTATTATAAAGGATTTATTATTATTATTATTATTATTATTATTATACAGGATTTATTATTATTATTATTATTATACAGGATTTATTATTATTTATTATTATTATTATTATTATTATTATTATACAGGATTTATTATTATTATTATTATTATTATTATTATTATTATACAGGATTTATTATTATTATTATTATTATTATTATACAGGATTTATTATTATTATTATTATTATTATTATTATTATTATTACTATTATTATACAGGATTTATGGCGCCAACAGTTTGCTCAGCGCTTTACAATATAGCGGGAGACAATACAGCAACAATACCGTTCAATACAAGAGGGATAGGAGGGCCTGATCCTGGGAGCTTACAATCTAGGAGACTTGCACAGGTTTACCGGCTCCTTTCCTGGACTGAAAGGGCTTACTCTGATTGCATTGCACACTGTGAGCTGCATACATTGTGCATTGGAAGCTTCTTCAAATCATTTCCTAGATGGAGAACATCCAGCATTATCTAGCGCTTTCCTCCCCAGCCTGATTGTCCCTGTCCCACCCATTTTAATTGGCATCCAGTGCTTTCAGTCACAGAAGCTCAGCATCACATGTTGGACGTTCTGCATACAAATACAGCCCGCCTAAGAATGCCCACTCCTCCAGACTGACATTGACCCATCAACGTATTTTGATATTTGCAGAATTCCTCCCAAGGTTGAGACCATGGATTGCATCAGGGCTGACGCCTCAGAAGTCCGCAAACAAACTTTTTTGCTTTATGCCTCAGTCCAAGTTAAAAAAAAAAAAAAAAAAAAAAAAAAAAGAAAATTCAGGGTGGCTTTCCTGTATGTTTTTTTTTCCCAATCTCTGGTGACCCCATCCCTTGCTTGTATTTTGGTCTAGGCCAAACTGATGTATCCTCCTTCTGCAGACCCTGCAATCACTATATCTGGTCTCCCTGGTCCCTGCATTCACTATATCTGGTCCCCCCCGGACCCTGCATTCACTATATCTGGTCTCCCCAGACCCTGCATTCACTATATCCGGTCTCCCCGGACCCTGCATTCACTATATCCGGTCTCCCCGGACCCTGCATTCACTATATCTGGTCCCCCCCGGACCCTGCATTCACTATATCTGGTCCCCCCCCGGACCCTGCATTCACTATATCTGGTCTTCCTGGACCCTGCATTCACTATATCTGGTCTTCCTGGACCCTGCATTCACTATATCTGGTCTCCCCGGACCCTGCATTCACTATATCTGGTCTCTCAGGACCCTGCATTCACTCTATCTGGTCTCCCTGGACCCTGCATTCACTATATCTGGTCTCCCCGGACCCTGCATTCACTATATCTGGTCTCCCCGGACCCTGCATTCACTATATCTGGTCTCCCCGGACCCTGCATTCACTATATCTGGTCTCCCCGGACCCTGCATTCACTATATCTGGTCTCTCAGGACCCTGCATTCACTATACCTGGTCTCCCCGGACCCTGCATTCACTATATCTGGTCTCCCTGGACCCTGCATTCACTATATCTGGTCTCCCCGGAACCTGCATTCACAATATGCAGTCTTTTCACCTTTTAGAACATGTTATATGTTCTGCCAGTATTTAGGGTGAAACATAACATATTTCAGCTGCTGCCTCCTCCCTCTCCGATCCTTTCCTCCCTCTCCGATCCTTTCCTCCCTCTCCGATCCTTTCCTCCCTCTCCGATCCTTTCCTCCCTCCCCGATCCTTTCCTCCCTCCCCGATCCTTTCCTCCCTCCCCGATCCTTTCCTCCCTCCCTCCCCGATCCTTTCCTCCCTCCCCCCAGATCCTTTCCTCCCTCCCCGATCCTTTCCTCCCTCCCCGATCCTTTCCTCCCTCCCCGATCCTTTCCTCCCTCCCCGATCCTTTCCTCCCTCCTTTCCTCCCTCCTCCCGATCCTTTCCTCCCTCTCCGATCCTTTCCTCCCTCTCCGATCCTTTCCTCCCTCTCCGATCCTTTCTTCCCTCTCCGATTCTTTCCTCCCTCTCCGATTCTTTCCTCCCTCTCCGATTCTTTCCTCCCTCTCCGATCCTTTCCTCCCTCTCCGATCCTTTCCTCCCTCTCCGATCCTTTCCTCCCTCTCCGATCCTTTCCTCCCTCTCCGATCCTTTCCACCCTCTCCGATCCTTTCCTCCCTCTCCCTCTCCGATCCTTTCCTCCCTCTCCCTCTCCGATCCTTTCCACCCTCTCCGATCCTTTCCTCCCTCTCCGATCCTTTCCACCCTCTCCGATCCTTTCCTCCCTCTCCGATCCTTTCCTCCCTCTCCGATCCTTTCCTCCCTCTCCGATCCTTTCCTCCCTCTCCGATCCTTTCCTCCCTCTCCGATCCTTTCCTCCCTCCCCGATCCTTTCCACCCTCTCCCTCTCCGATCCTTTCCCCCCTCTCTGATCCTTTCCTCCCTCTCCCTCTCCGATCCTTTCCTCCCTCTCCCTCTCCGATCCTTTCCTCCCTCTCCGATCCTTTCCTCCCTCTCCGATCCTTTCCTCCCTCTCCCTCTCCGATCCTTTCCTCCCTCTCCGATCCTTTCCTCCCCTCTCCCTCTCCGATCCTTTCCTCCCTCTCCCTCTCCGATGTAGGCCTTGTAGTGGCGAGTACTCTCATAGTTAAATGATACTTCTTGGACTTCAATTATAAGTTCACCTTTCCAAAAAAAAATTATAAATGCACATATTTTTACAGGTAAAAAAAAGTGCATTTATTATTTTTTTTTTACACTGTAGCCTGTAAAGCATTGCACCTGCAATCAGCAGATCCTGCAAACTCTCAAAGAGCTGTTGGACTGTACCATGTACATGGGCAGACAGTAAATGAATTGCAGGAAGATCAATGAACTACAAGAGCGCTCACCAGCGCCCTCACAGTTCATTGGGAACGACAAGTCGTAGGCCACTCTTAAAGATGAACTTATTCTTTATATTTGGTATTAAACTCAAAACAAAAAATGTATTATATTGCAGCTTACCAATCATTAGATGTGGTGGCTGCATTAGTTTTTTCTTTTTTTTTAGGCTTTTCCAATCTGTTTTAATTTGGTGATCTGGGAAATAACACACCTCCTGTATTAGAGCGCCACTACTCTGGATGAAGAAGCACAGGGAGCACCTTCGGACAGCAGCATTGTCAGTCTGGGGGGGGGGGAGGGGGATGTATTAGATGGACTAGCAGATTTTGATACAGTAAACAAATTTTTGTTTTTCAACAAATGGAGTTTGGCTTTAGATTTACTGCTGCACACAGAAGGTGTAGAATGCATGAAGGTAAAAAAAACTCTTGAGCCTTTATAACAACTTTAAAACTAAATAAACACCTTTTAACTACTTCCTGTCCGGCCCATGTACATAAACGGCTGGACGGGAGCAGTGCAGTTCATAAACAGTGGCTGCATTTCAGCCTGTGTGTGCTTCCTGAGAGCGCATGGCACCGTGATCGCCAATGATTGGCCAATCAGTGATCACATGAATAGTAGTAAGCAAGATGTAATTTCTGACATCACTGCTTACTACTAGTGAAATCTTTGAATGATCACAGAGATCACATGGTACTGGGCTATTCACAACAACCTTGTACCATGTGACAAGCTGTGACCAATCACAGCTCTCACAGTAGTTCTCAATGGCTGCAAGAATGCAGCCAGAGAGAAGAAGTGATTGCTTTTACAGCCTTTATGGGTGTAAAAAGCAATCAGTGTAAGAAAAAAAATCTTCATCACCCCCCCAAATAGTACAGTGTCACTAGGGTGACAGTATGTTAAAAAAAAAAAAAAAAGCATACATAATATAAAAAAGCATAAATAATCTAAAAATGTAAGAAAAAATGTTGAAAAATTATAATTTTTGGTTATAAACTAATTTGGGTTATTTTTTTTTACTAAAAAGATAGCTGAATACAGTTTGGCTAAGATTTATGAAGGAAGATTATTTATTTGTAAAATTTTATAAGAAAAACACTTTTTTTTTTCAAAATTTTTGGACTTTTTTCATTTATATAGCAAAAAAAAAAATCCCAGTGGTGAATGAATACCACCAAAATAAAGATTTATCTGTCTCAAAAAAAATTCATATGGGTACAGTGTTGCATGACCGTGCAATTGTCATTCAAACTCTGACAGCGCTGAAAGCTGGACTGGACAGGAAGGGGGTAAAAGTGTCTGGACATAAAGTGGTTAAAAAAAAACATTTGTTGATACAGACGGAAAAGGAACAGCAGTGCGGGGCAGAAAAACAGAGAGATCTGAGCCCTTAATCCAGGGTTCCTACGTCATTTGGTGTCGCAGACTGGTTGTGTTTGAGGTGACGTTCTCTGTGGTTGGGTTTCCTCTTTATATGTATGTCAGTCGGCTGCTTGCAGTAATGCCTTCCCTTTGCTGGGGTCAGCCTGGGTTTATTTTTTTGCTAGGGAGGGAGCATTTGGTTTGCTGCGAGATGTCAGAGTGATGAAGAGCCGTACAGCCAGGCTGTGTACACACAAGGCACCCAGTGACCGCCTCTGTCATCACACAGCATGACTGTCAATACCTGCAGAGGACAGAGACATTCCAGCCGTCATAGGGGTAGTGTGGACAGTATACCTCCCAATCTGCCTGACACTATCATAGTCTTCTGATTATAAACTGATTTCAGTGCAAAGGGTAAACCTTGGAAAGCTGAAGTCACTTTTGTAAAACATGCTTGGAACAAAAGATTTGTACATAATCTCCTAGATTGTGAGCTCCCAGGATCAGGCCCTCCTATCCCTCTTGTATTGAACTGTATTGTTGCTGTACTGTCTCCCGTTATATTGTTGTAAAGCGCTGAGCAAACTGTTGGCGCCATATAAATCCTGTATAATAATAATATTAATAATAAAAAATCCTGTATAAATAATAATAATAGTAATAATAAATCCTGTATAATAATAATAATAGTAATAATAAATCCTGTATAATAATAGCAATATATAAATCCTGTATAATAATAAAAATAATAAAACCTGTATAATAATAAAAATAATAAAACCTGTATAATAATAGCAATATATAAATCCTGTATAATAATAATAAATCCTGTATAATAATAATATATAAATCCTGTATTATAATAATTATAATAATAATAATAATAAATCCTGTATAATAATAACAATAATAGTAATGATAAATCCTGTATAATAATAAAAATAATAAAACCTGTATAATAATAGCAATATATAAATCCTGTATAATAATAATAAAAACTAGAAAAGGTACAATTTCTGGGGAAATTGTGTGAAGTGTTCTTGCCTCCACCAGTAGTCTACAACTGGAGTGGGCGGAGTAACTGGGTGGAGTGGGTGGAGTAACTGGGTGGAGTGGGCGGAGTAACTGGGTGGAGTGGGCGGAGTAACTGGGTGGAGTGGCTTGAATAACTGTTGTGTGGTTGGAGTGGCTGGAGTAACTGTTGTTGTATGGTTGGAGTGGCTGGAGTAACTATTGTGTGGTTGGAGTGGCTGGAGTAACTATTGTGTGGTTGGAGTGGCTGGAGTAATTATTGTGTGGTTGGAGTGGCTGGAGTAACTGTTGTGTGGTTGGAGTGGCTGGAGTAACTGTTGTGTGGTTGGAGTGGCTGGAGTAACTGTTGTGTGGTTGGAGTGGCTGGAGTAACTATTGTGTGGTTGGAGTGGCTGGAGTAACTGTTGTGTGGTTGGAGTGGCTGGAGTAACTATTGTGTGGTTGGAGTGGCTGGAGTAACTATTGTGTGGTTGGAGTGGCTGGAGTAATTATTGTGTGGTTGGAGTGGCTGGAGTAACTGTTGTGTGGTTGGAGTGGCTGGAGTAACTATTGTGTGATTGGAGTGGCTGGAGTAACTGTTGTGTGGTTGGAGTGGCTGGAGTAATTATTGTGTGGTTGGAGTGGCTGGAGTAACTGTTGTGTGGTTGGAGTGGCTGGAGTAACTATTGTGTGGTTGGAGTGGCTGGAGTAATTATTGTGTGGTTGGAGTGGCTGGAGTAACTGTTGTGTGGTTGGAGTGGCTGGAGTAACTATTGTGTGGTTGGAGTGGCTGGAGTAACTATTGTGTGGTTGGAGTGGCTGGAGTAATTATTGTGTGGTTGGAGTGGGTGGAGTAACTGTTGTGTGGTTGGAGTGGCTGGAGTAACTATTGTGTGATTGGAGTGGCTGGAGTAACTGTTGTGTGGTTGGAGTGGCTGGAGTAATTATTGTGTGGTTGGAGTGGCTGGAGTAACTGTTGTGTGGTTGGAGTGGCTGGAGTAATTATTGTGTGGTTGGAGTGGCTGGAGTAACTATTGTGTGGTTGGAGTGGCTGGAGTAACTGTTGTGTGGTTGGAGTGGGTGGAGTAACTATTGTGTGGTTGGAGTGGCTGGAGTAATTATTGTGTGGTTGGAGTGGCTGGAGTAACTGTTGTGTGGTTGGAGTGGCTGGAGTAACTATTGTGTGATTGGAGTGGCTGGAGTAACTGTTGTGTGGTTGGAGTGGCTGGAGTAACTATTGTGTGGTTGGAGTGGCTGGAGTAACTGTTGTGTGGTTGGAGTGGCTGGAGTAATTATTGTGTGGTTGGAGTGGCTGGAGTAATTATTGTGTGGTTGGAGTGGCTGGAGTAACTGTTGTGTGGTTGGAGTGGCTGGAGTAATTATTGTGTGGTTGGAGTGGCTGGAGTAATTATTGTGTGGTTGGAGTGGCTGGAGTAACTGTTGTGTGGTTGGAGTGGCTGGAGTAACTATTGTGTGGTTGGAGTGGCTGGAGTAATTATTGTGTGGTTGGAGTGGCTGGAGTAATTATTGTGTGGTTGGAGTGGCTGGAGTAATTATTGTGTGGTTGGAATGGCTGGAGTAACTGTTGTGTGGTTGGAGTGGCTGGAGTAATTATTGTGTGGTTGGAGTGGCTGGAGTAATTATTGTGTGGTTGGAGTGGCTGGAGTAACTGTTGTGTGGTTGGAGTGGCTGGAGTTAACTATTGTGTGGTTGGAGTGGCTGGAGTAATTATTGTGTGGTTGGAGTGGCTGGAGTAATTATTGTG